CTAAGAGAAAAGATAAATCTTGCAAATGAAGTCTTTGAAACGTACGCGATGAAGTACACAATTTATTCACCACAACTACGTTTTCACTTTATTTTTACTTTTCTTGATTCTTCCTTTGATGTTACATAAAATGCTTTTTTACTATTTGACCCTTTTCCTCCTCCTCTTGCAGTAGCAGTTTTATTTTATTTATGTAAGAAAAACATAGTACTTTACTTTTCTTTATGTGAGAGGAAGGTATTTAACAAAATAAAATATATTATTATACGTTTCTTTTTAAAGATCTTGGTACCATAACATTATATGCTATTATCATCATAATTTCTGTTCCACCATAACCAGTACCACTGTTTTTCAACCATTATGTTACAAGTAAGCTCTTCTTTTCTCTTAATAACTTAATTCTAAAGATGTCTCGATTTGTTTCGTCGCTGATATTATTTGTAATTTATTACATTTAATAATCTAGACTTTATTCATCGCGTATATTTCAAGGACTCTGTCAACAGAATTTATCTCTGTTCTTTGTACCAACATGGGGAAAAACTTGGATATATTTTCTAATTATCCATTCACGAAGGAACGAGCAAATAATTCTTCTAATGGTATTAAAACGATATTAAGGTTACTACACCTTCCATGATCCAAATCTTCTCTTTCGATGGTCCAAAAAACAATCAAAATGAATTTCTATCCTGCTCGTTGGGAACTGTTGAATTTATCTCGCGTCTGTTGCCAAGAACGAGTGAAGTAGAAATCTTGAACTTCTCTAAGGAATAGACTTTCAACGTGGAATTAATGCAGACATCTTTGTAGCTTCTAGAGCAATACGGAAACGTTTTGCTTCAGCCGATGTTTTGTCCGAATATAAAGGCACCCTTTGCGATAACTTCGTATTTCTTATCTTATTTACCCGAATACATTTAACTCGGGCAATGCAATCGCCAAATAAATAAACGAAACTTTATTCGATACAGCATATTCTCATTTGGGCCAATTATTGCACGTAAACTTTCTAAGTATTCTGATCGCCAATATAATTTCTAATACAACGCCAAAATTTTGGATTCAATTTTCATGCTAAAAGTGGATAAATATGTATTGAAATATTAACTATAGTTTGTTTAAATGCCAGTTATAGTTCACACTGTCGTACGAGTTTCGACTCGAGCAAGGAGTGGGGATGACTCGTGGACATACAAGCGGACAGATTCGTGGTCATATAAGCGGACACTACTGTATTTTACGTTCTATCGCTATCGAGAACCTCGTGAACCATTCAGACCTGCACTCAGGGATCCTCTCGCACAAGAGATAGAAAATTGCTCCTTTCGCGAGAACGTTTCTCAACTTTCAACGTTTTTCTTCAAATTTATAACGAGTATCGTAAATCTTGGCACGGTTAAGCTGCAATATTTTGGCTTCCGTTAACGTCTTATCACGACGCGACGAAACGCTGTTATACCGGGAAGTGCATTGGAATTCAAGGATCCCCCAAGAAGCTCAAAGGCGCGCAGAGAGGAAGAGGAGTGTCCGGAACGAGTAAAGGGGGAATTATAGGAAGGCTTTAAATATTTATCAAGCCGTAGGACAGTCTGCCGGCGGCGAGCTTGACAAAGAACAAGAGACTGCTAATGAATCCAGTCGGCCGGCAATAATTCTTTGTTCCCGTTCTCCGCCGGCGAATTGAAATAGAATTTCAAGGAACGTAACGGCGGCCCTCAAACTTTTCCATTTACGGTTTCATTAAATCGACGCGCGGCATTTACGGGATCGATTTACTTTGACGCTGATCGCCAATCAAATTATTCACTTAACGATCTTCCCTCGCGTTTCGAAACGAAAAACATAGTCGATATTTAGAATTTACTTACGAAGACAAATTTTTTCTTACGTGTTCTTCGCAACAAGAAAATAAATTTAAAAGGGGTTGTATATTTGAAGTTATATTTTCGATGTTATTCGTGTCCTTTTCATTGTTTGAAAGAACATTACTGACATACACGGTGTTCGGTCACCCCTGGGGAAAAATTTAATGCGAGATTCTAGAGGCCAAAATAAGACGAAAATCATAAATACTAATTTGTTGATGGAAGCTTCGTTAAAAAGTTATTAACGTTTAGAGTTCCGCCCGAACTGAATTTTTTTCGAGAAAGTGGGTAGGATTTCGGGGGTAGGTCTATTCACCTAAAATTATTGTAATTGACCCCGGTAATCGAAAATAATTTTTCCAGAAAGATTTGAAATTAATTAATTTTGTCGAAAAATTTCACACATTGTCGAAGTTTTTTCTCGAAAGTGGGTAGGAATTCGAGTGTATACCTAATGACCAAAACCGATTGTAATTGACCCCGGCAATCGAAAATAATTTTCTCAGAACGATTTGAAATTTTTTTTTCGTCAAAAAATTTAGGTCGATGTTTCTTAAAAATTTATTTTTCATTTTTAATATATTTGTTTAACGCTGTACAGAAAAGTTGTTTAATACTTTTTTGGAGATACTCATGAACTCTACTTCCTCATAAAATTTCAATCCAATATAGTCGGTATTCTAGGAGTTACGGCCGTCTGAAAATTGGAGCACTTTTATGGGGTTTTTCTCAATTTACGGGGTGCAGGAACAACTTTTCGAATATTCATAGAATTTCTACATATTCTGCTCTAAAATACGCGTTGTTTGCATTTTGAAACATTGAAATCCTTCGATCCGTTCAAAAGTTATGATGTTTTAAACATACGCGTGAAATTTCAGGGAAACATATCAATGGATGGTGAGACATTACATTTTTAGTAAGGAATTTTTTTCTCGATAGTAGGTAGGATTTTGAGGGTATGTCTATTAACCAAAGATGCTTGTAATTGACTCCTGTAACTAAATATAATTTTTTTAGTGTGATTTGAAATTTTTTAATTTCGTCTAAAAATTTCAGTACCTACTCGAATTTTTTTCTCGAAACTGGGTAGGATATCAGGGATATGTGTATTCACCAAAAGTAATTGTAATTGAGTCCCGCAACCAAAAATAATTTTTTCACAATGATTTGAAATTTTTTAATTTAATTTTTTAATAACTTTTTAATGAAGCCTCAGTCAAGAAATTGATATTCTTGATTTTCGTCTTATTTTGGCCTCTAGAATCTCCCATTAAAATTTTTCCTAAGGATGGCTGAACACCCTCTATGGAAAACATATTTAACGTATCGAGAATTTTATAGTAGTTCAGTCAGTGATTTGAACCGACAAATATGAATAGATTGTTACTCTATACGAGAGTATCTTTTATCTGAACTTGACGAAATTAAGGAAACATTAAACTTCTACTTAAACAAATGTATTCGAGATTAAAGACTAGTGGTACCGAAAAATCGAGATCAGCTTGGACGAATGTTTCCAAAATCTTTGGTGAACACTCGGTTCAATATAACGCTCCTCGTTGTTGATGGAAGTCTGGGCGGAAAGTGAACGTTAAGCGGTTAGCTGGCCGAATTCGTCGAAACACGAATATAATGTATCGCCGTGGAAGTTTCTTCTTCGACTCTCTTCTTCTCCCTTTTAATCGGGAAGTTCGTTTCCTCCGGAATGGTGGCGCGTCGCTGTACCGACCGCTTCGGCATTGAAAATATCGATTGCCGGTCGGGGGGTTGGGAGGGAAAAATGCGACGAACGAATTCGAGCGAACCAACGACGTTTGCGTTGGTACAAGGAGATTTCCAATTATCGAGAATAAGTCGGCAAAACGCTTGGAAAGCGAAATCTCCGCGGGGTTCCCATTGATTCCGATGAAAAGATAGGGGGAAAAAAATAAAAAATTGAAAAAAAGTGGGAGGGGGGAAAGAAAGAAGCGAACCGTGGCGCAGAATTTTAATCTTGACGGAGCATTCACAACACGGGATTAGAGGGGAGAAAGACGAGCCACGAAAGATAATGTCTGCCGCGTGTACTTATCTTCGATGAGTGAAAGGGGGGGACAGATTATTTATTGTTCCGGCACCAGTACGCTCGCGATAGTCCTCTATCTGCTCCAGTATTGGGTAATATGATTATACGATTTATCGCTTTGTTTACTGATGACTAGGAAGCCGGGAGGAAGAATGAGACTAATAGGGCGGAAATTAATATTAAGAGGGGCTGAAAGATAACCGGGAGGAAAAAATATTAAAAACGACCATCGAGAGTGTGCCTCTCTTGCTTAATTTCCTTCGTTATATTTCTTGATAGTATTGTGAAATATTGTTTACAGCCAGCACTGTGAAAATGTCAAAAAATTGTAGAATTTAAATACCCCTTTCAATGAAGATGGTTTTAAGTTCTGGGGAGTAGAAAGTTCAAGCTTTGAAAGGATTTCATTTTTACAAAGTTACGATAGTTCGAAGACTCAGCTAAAATAGTTTTGTCGTAGTAAGAATGATTTTAGAAAAATTATTCACCATGTTTCTCCGATCTATAAATTCCTGGACTTTCTAAAAAAAAAGAAAAAACGTTTTTAACAACAGAAGAACATCGAAAACTTCGTCCAAGATTTTATCGATCTTCGGGATGAGGATTTCTATGCACATGGAATAAATGTTCCTCTATTATATTGGTAAATGTGTGTTGAACGTAATGGTGCTTCTTTTGTTAGGAGGGAAAAATGTATCGAAGCGATCGCTCTACAACGTATTGCACAAAATACATTTCCTTATTCAGCTGATAAAATAACATTGTCGCGTGATATTTGGAACTTTAGACCCGTTTCACCATGCCCTTGTTTATATTAGAAATACGTAACTTTTGGCTTACGGAACCATATTTGATTTCAAGGTGGATTCGACGGCCCTATATCGCGAGGTCGTTTGAAATCGTTTAAAATCACGAACGGGTTTTAGATATTTCACGGTTCATTTGCTTCGAATTAGGTCACGTTTTCGTTACGTTGCAACCGAACGATATCGCGAAATATTTTCACCGTCAAGCCGTGCAGGCAACGAAACATCGAATTCGCCGTCATTGTTGTCACTTACCCCGCTGCCAGATCGGCGTGCTGGCCGGATTGCTGTCCACCTCGCATTTCAGGCTGACGGACATCCCCTCGACGACCGGAATTCCAAAACCGGGTAAACGCGTTATCGCGAACGACGGAGTATCTGAAACAGGGATTAAGCTATTACTGTCAGCGCCACCGGGTATCGATAGCTGTGTCGATTCCATCGAGTCGACGAAAGATAAGAATGTAATCACGTGTTTTATTTTTTTTTTTTTCGAACGACAATAAGAAATATTTTACATCCTAACTAAATATTAGAAGCCAATTTTAATTATTAAAGGAAGATGAACGAGGAACAACGAAATTACAATTACACACCAAGTTAATCATTTGGTTTTCGATCGAATTTGATATACAGGGTGTTCGGCCACCCTTGGAAAAACTTTTAATGGGAGATTCTAGGGGCCAAAATAAGACAAAATCAAGAATATCAATAACTTGATTGAGGCTTCGTTAAAAAGTTATTAAAAAATTAAATTAAAAAATTTCAAATCATTCTGGAAAAATTATTTTCGAATGGATCTAAAAAAATTATTTTTGGTTGTACGGGTCAATTACAATTATTTTTGGTCAATAGACATACCTCCGAATTCCTACGCAGTTTCGAGAAAAAAATTCCTTTCCGAAAATATAATGTTTGACCATACATTGACATGTTTCACTGAAATTTCATGCGTATCTTTAAAACATCATAACTCCTGAACGAATCGGATGATTTTAAAGTTTAAAAATGCAAACGACGCGTATTTTGGTGAAGAATATGTAGAAATTCTAAAAATATTGGAAAAGTTGATCCTTGAGCCCGCAAAATAAGAAAAACCCCATAAAAATGGTCCAATTTGCAAACAGCCATAATTCCTACAATAGTCAATATATTTAAATGATACTTTTTTCTGAAGTAGAGCTCATGGGTACCTCCAAAAAAGTATTAGACAACTTTTCTGTAGGATGTCAAACAAAATTATTAAAAATCAAAAATGAATTTTTAAGAAAAATCGACAGGGGTGCCTAAATTCCTCGACTAAATTAAGAAATTTTAAATCGTTCTAGAAAAATCATTTCTAGTTACAGAGGTCAATTACAATCATCTTTCGTGAATACACATACCCTCGAATTCCTATCCACTTTTGAGAAAAAAATTCAGTACAGGCGGGACTTTAAACGTTAATAACTTTTTAACGAAGCCTCAGTTAACAAATTAGTAATCTTAATTTTCGTCTTATTTTGGCCTCTAGAATCTCCCATTAAAATTTTCCCCCGAATTCACCTTGTATATCTAATAATTTTATACCCTAACTTAATATTAGGAGCTAATTTTAATTATTAAATTCAGATAAACATGAAACAACGAAATTACAATAACGAGGTTGATCATTTGGTTTTCGATCAAGTTTGTTATTTATTTAAATAAGCAAAAATTTGTTGCACGAGCTGAAATATTGAAAATATTTTGTAATCAGGGTAAAGAGTTTATTGCACATTTTCGAATTAATTTTGTAGCGTAACGAAACACTCTGTGGACATTCGACGAATGAACACGACGTATTTCGATTTGACATAATCGAGTTCAGAGTCCTCGTAAATATTAATACTCGTCCAGTGTTGTTATATTGTTTATCAATGTACGTTGCACTGCTGGAACTGTACCCCTATTCCACTCTCTTAGGCCAGGGCTTAATGCCTTAACGCAAATTGCATAATAATGTGGCATTGCGAAATTTCCGTGCTAGGTGGCCTAGAACGTAGGCTTTGGAAACAGGATTTGAAACGTGTTCTCTATAGAAACAAGTTTAGTTTAGCCCGTAATGCCCGGAGCCTTCAAAATAGCCACGGAATAACAATTGCGACCGCGTCGTTAAATTACCATTACTTCGTGTTATCGATCACCATTTCGCACACTTTACTTGTCGACTTAACTGAAAATCTTGTCAGAAAGGCCTCCTCGATGGGGATAAAAACACCGAATAATTTGACACGGTTGTTAGTTTCCGAGATAAAAATTTATTCCTCCGACTCGTTTTAGATTCAACGACAAAGAAATGCAAAAAGTCCTGCGATTTTTAAACAAATTTGAAACTAGAAAAATGACGATTAATACTTTCTAAAATATTCCCATTTGGAGACGATCATTTTAGGCAATATTTAAACTAAAAAATTATTATGTAACTATAGAGCAAGGATTTAAAAATTTTGTCCATTATGAACATAATATAACTTTCTACGCAATAATTTTTATTGCATGTTCCTTGTTGCCCATTGTTTCGAATAATCTTCTTAAAATTTGACACACATATGAAATAGATCTCCCTCTATCGTATTTGTAAGTCCTGTGCTTATAATAGTTATATATTACTCCTGTTATTTATTAAAAATCAGAACATCACGAAGTAGTTTGCACGGGTGCAAATGGACCCAAGTAACCTTGGGAGAGGATTGAATGTCGGGACTTTGGGTACCCGTTAAAAATGTCTCGTTCAACGTGGACGTTTAAACGTTTTCTGACGTGTAAACACTCGGGTACACGTCGTTACCGTTATATCGTCCGAAAACTCGTTTGCCCGAGTCCAATTACCTATCCGCCGAACCAACGACGCGCGTATTCGAGACTTTAAATCGGCCGCGTCGCTTGTAAAAAGCCAAAACAAAGGCGAAAACGGCGGGGCTCTGTAATAACTGAAACGAGCTGGGAGGAAACGAGGACGGTGGACATCAAACCTACTAATCGGCCAAACGGAACTACGCCTCTGACGAACGAGCCGCCACACCTCCACACCCTCCATCCCCACGCCTTCGTCCAACATCCTAGTGTACCGCGAGCGTTCCTTCCGCGTCATTAACGACCGACCTCGAACCGGGCGACAGAACTCCCTCGTATCCAGATCGTCGACAGTGTACACGTAACGGAATTCCTCGGTGAGAACGACGAAGCCGATGGCATCCGACGAGCGAGCAAACCGCAGTTTCGAGGCCACGAGTAATTAACGAACAGGGGGAAGACAGTGAAGATTTTACGATCGCCAGCGCCCGCGTTCTCGTTAAAAAGTCTCGCTTTTTCTACGATGATACCGCGTACGTTGCAGGATAGAAGTTGGCGCCTCCTCGCGTGAAATCATACGCCCCCGCGACGCCGACTCGGAACTTGTAATATTGTCCATTTACGATGATTATCATCTCCATCATGTTCTCGATCAAATTTGTCGAGATACAAATGTGGAGATTTTTAAACTATCTATCGAGTTCGAGTCTATATTAATGGACGAAATGATGAGTACACTGTTCATATTACGCGTCAAATAATACCCCTGATGTCAACTTAAAGCATCTAATATATTTGTCCACTAACGATGGCTATCATCCTCATATTTTTCATTCTTTTATTGAGTTCGAGTCTATATTAATGGACGAAACGATGAGTACACTGTTGATGTTACCAGTGAAATTATATCCCCGTGAGGCCGGCTTGAAACTTGTAATATCGTCCACCTACGATGGTTATCATCCCCCTTATATTTTTCATCAACTTTGTTGAGATACAAATGTGGCGATCTTTAATCCTTCTATCAGATTCGAGTCTATATTAATGGACGAAACGATGAGTATACTGTTGATGTTACCCGTGAAATTATATCTCCGTGAGGTCAATTTAGAGCTTGCAATATTGTCCACCTACAATGTCTGTGTTATCATCTACCTTATATTCTCGATCAAATTTGTTGAGATACAAATGTGGCGATCTTTAATCCTTCTATCAGATTCGAGTCTATATTAATGGACACAACGATGAGTACACTGTTGATGTTACCCGTGAAATTATATCCCCGTGAGGCCAACTTGGAGCTTGCTATATTGTCCATCTACAATGTCTGTGTTATCATCTACCTTATATTCTCGATCAAATTTGTTGAGATACAAATGTGGCGATCTTTAATCCTTCTATCAGGTTCGAGTCTATATTAATGGACGAAACGATGAGTACACTGTTGATGTTACCCGTGAAATTATATCCCCGTGAGGCCAACTTAGAGCTTGCAATATTGTCCACCTACAATGTCTATGTTATCATCTACCATATATTCTCGATCAAATTTGTTGAAATACAAATATGGCGATCCTTAATCCCTCTATCGAGTTCGCGTCTACACTGATGAACAAAATGATGATACACGTAAAATACGCAAACATATGTTCAACATACAAGTAATACGTATAATAAACATAGAACTCGTATAGAACTCGTGTTCAGGCTATCGTGACATTTAAAAAAAGAAAATAGACAATTTGATTCTGGTCTGTTGTATATTTATCAATAACAGTATTTGAGAAATATAATTATTTAACTACCTAAATATTTTTGTCAAATGATCCTAATAATGATTTCAAAGCATTCTATACTCCGAAACTAATAAAAAGAAAATTTACAGAAATTCTATTTAACTCAAAATTGTATAACTATGATCTCCCAGTATATATTATCGATAAAAACCCGTAACATTCGATCGAAGAAACCATTAACCGTTCGAAGTCACCAGTTAATGGCGCACAAATAGTTTTCTGTTTGTGTACCATTCCAACGACAAAATCACAAACTTTGTCTTTTCCTTCGGCTTCCACAGTAGTGTAACCGCTTAATACCATGGTTGGCGAGCAGCTGGCGCGAGAGGGGGGCGGTGTGTCGAGGTCGCGAAATAAATTGGTGGCCCCTGGAAACGAGGGTGGGCCGAGAAACGAAGAAAGAGAACCCCGAAGAGGAATCCGAGATCGGGCGAGAAGAAAACTCGCGGCGAAGGCGGAAACGCGAGAGGGTAGAGGAGGGGAAGAAGAAAAAAGGAGCGAGAGGCTTTTCCTCGCTCCGACCACCGGATGGCTCCAAGTTATTCACTCGGCTATAATAGTGCGGTGCTGAGACAATGCAAGCTTAATGAAAGCTACCCCCCCTTCCTCTTTTCGCCCGCCACCTCACTCCGTCTCCTCTTCGTTTCTCTTTCCAGTCGCGTTTCTCCGTGCCACTCGTGGCTCTTACTCGACGCCAACACCGACGCCGACGCCGCTGTAGTCCCAGCGCAGTCGCGTAAACACCCAAACAAAGCAAACAATGAGACA